GGGGCGGGCCGAGTACGTGGAGGGGACTGTGCAGGTACTACCACACGTCCAGTAAGCATCTCCTCCCACCCCACCTCACAACATCTATCATATTTGCTAATATTGAATATTTGTGTGCAGCGCGCAACTGGCTGCGCCGCCCCTCGCTCCTCCGCGCGCACCGCCTGCCGACGCACACATCCGACGCCTCGCTAAACACCATAACCTCCGCCGCGCTCTCGCACACGCACCTCGTCGTCGCCCTCGCCAACTCCCGCATCCACGTCTTCTCAGCGCGCACCGGCGCCGTCATGCGCACGCTCACGGGCCACGACAACGGCGTGTGGGCTGTGGCGCTCGTCGCGCCCGGCGGTGGGATGGACAGGCGGCATCAGAGGGCGAGGGAGCGCTGGGATCCCGCACTGCCTGATATGATTGGAGGGAGTGGGAGGGCGAGGGAGGTGAGGCCCGGTCTGGAGTTCCAGATCAGGCATAATCGCGCGCCGGCGGGGTTCGGGACCGATAACCCGCGCAGGCTGGACCACCTCCTCCCGCCGAGCATGCGGCGCGCGCTCGCGCTCGACGCACCGACGAAGTGGCTTGACGAGAGTCACGATCACGATAGAGGGAGGGATCGGGCGGACGCGACGGGCACGGCGAGGGGCTGGGGCCAGGCGGGGAGTATCGTCGTTAGCGGCGGCAGCGACAAAGATCTGCGGGTCTGGGACGCCGATACGGGGCTGTGCCTCTACGTCCTGCGCGGGCACACCAGCACCGTGCGCACGCTGCGCGTCTTGCACAACAGACCCACAGCGATCTCCGGCGCGCGCGACGGCTCGATCCTCGTCTGGGATCTGCAGCACGGGCGTTTACTGAGGCGGCTGGACGGGCACGCGGCGAGCGTGCGGGCGCTGGAGGTGTGTGGCGCACGGGCGGTGAGCGGGAGCTATGATTGTAGTGTTAGGTTGTGGGATGTGGATAGCGGGGAGTGCGTGCATGTGTTTAGGGGGCATGAGGCGCCGATTTATTGTGTGGCGTTTGATGGGCGGTTTGTGGCGAGTGGGGGCGTGGATACGAGTGTGCGGGTGTGCGATGCGGGGAGCGGGTGCGTTCCTCTACCTTATACTTTTGCTAAGGCGAGAGCTGATGGGGTGGGTAGGGAGTGTCTTATGAAGTTCAGCGTGCATACAGCCTTAGTTTGTCAGCTCCAGCTCGCGCCCGGTCTGCTCATATCAGGCGGCGCGGACGGTCGTGTGGTGTTATACACTATCACCGACCCTCCCCCATCCACCTCCACCTCATCCACACAACATCCACACACCTTATCCGCTCAACACTCGTCAGCGTCACGACACCCACACTTCGAAGTCGCGCACCGCCTCACGGCGCACGACAGCAGCATCACGGCGTTGCAGCTCACATGCGATAACCGGTTGTTAGTGACGTCCGGCAACGACGGGCGCGCGCGGTTGTGGGATATAGCCGCCACACGACCCTCACCTCACCCTTCCCCCTCCCCCTCTCCCTCCCCCTCATCCTCGGCAAACCCCTCGCGCGCAACCTCAGCAACCTCAGCAACAAATACAAACTCACAGTCTGCGTCGCAAGTGTCGAAGTACCCGGCCGGACGATATGTGCGCGAGATGTCGGAGGGCGGCGAGGGCGTGTGGGGCGTCGTGTTTAGGAGGGAGGGCGGCGCGGTGCTGGCGAAGAGGCAGGGGAAGATGGTTGTGGAGATGTGGGGGTTTGCGGGGGAGGTTGAGAGGGG